AACTTAAAATGCTTATAACTCACTTTTAAATTATAATATCAATAATGTGATAGTCTATGTGATAGCCTAGATACAATTTTTACATTTAAGTTTGATCAAAAATAATTTACTCTAATCGGGAAATTTTCTAAATATCAAACAAATTAAATCTATCTATTACACTTTGATTATATAAGTAAAGAATAATTTTAATACTTTAATCAATACCTGTAGCAGTACAACATGCATTTTTCATGATTCATATTTTGTAAAATGTTGCAGTTGATGCAAGCCATAAAGAGAATAGCTATTAGTGAGGTATCCAGTGTTTGTAGTAAACATTAGTTGCGTTTTTTAGCTAGTAAGTAATTAAGTAAGCTTTGCTTAAGGTGGAAACACAAATTCCCAAACCAGGCATTTCGCTATTGATTTTATAAAAATATATTGGTCACCGTTTAAATTTCCTAATAGTTTTTAAAAAAATTAATCTGTTTTTTGTAAAGTTCTAACCAATTTTAAATTTTAAGTTAACTAAATTTTGTTTTGAACAATAAAAATTTAAGTATTGGGAAAAAATCTTATTAAAATTTTATCGACTTACAGTTTTACTTTAAGAACATGGTTTATCAGTGCTGACTGTACACTTCGTTTAACAAACAAAAGTATGTTTTAATAGGACGTATTTTGTTAATTTACTACGTCCATATTGTGTAGAACATAAGTTATGTATATTTTAAACTTGCATATTGTTTGTGTATAATTTTATGTACAATTCTATTGATATGTATATATTTTGAAAACAGTACCTTGCAGAAAAGAATAGTTATTTTACCCAAATACATTATATTGTTTAAGTACAATATAATTAATTGTCATTAACTCACGACCATGATGTAACATAACAACGTATTGCCTAGAGTCAAATTATTTTTACAATAGAACATTTAAGTTTTATATGGTAAGATTAAAAATTCAAACGAATCTAAACGATTTAATTGGTTATATAATAACAAATATTATAAATTAAATTTAAAAGGGGAAAAAGTAAATATTATGTATGTCGTATACAGTAGTACGGACGTGTACGATTTATATAGACATCGGCATGCATCAACAAAAAGTTATTTTTACAGACCACACAAACAATTATGACTAAATTATCCAAATATTACTCCACGTAGGCGCGGATCACTGTTGAGCTGTAGTTAATGATCGTGGTCGATAAAAGCTTTATAAAATAATTAAAACACTAAACTTATAAACATAATGCCATCTGTTTTGCGTGCAAAAATAAACAGAAAACGTTTCGCAATATTGTTTGATTGGAATGCACAAACAACAAAAAAAACTGGCGTAATCCACAACGGTCGGTGCCGTCTGCGGTAAGCGAATATTTGCTTTAGAACTAATATGTATATAGATTGTTATCATTTTGATGTTATCGCAACCTACGGTAATAATGAATTGTTAACGTGGTGCTTTTTTTGCTCAGCTCTTCGTCGTTTTCGTTTTTCGTCCGTCTTCGCCGCGACAAAGTGTATGTGCACCTGCGAAGTGCATACACGCCAGATGTCGGTGGTTTATTACTTCGCGTTACTATATATATTATAGCTAAAGCAGCAGCGCGTAATGCAATAATATCAAACAATATATATATATATCATCACAATTCGAATAATCGGATAATTAATAATAGTGACATTCTGGCGCAAATGATAGTGTTCACTATTATTATTATTATTACCGTCATTATCATCGTCATCATCCCGCCACAAGTATAAAATATCGTGGAAAAAAAATAATAAAATCTGCACTCCGTGCGCACTAGTTGCAGTGCAGCGTTTTGGTATGCAATTACCGGTGGATTCCTTGTATTGGTCATCGGGACGTCTGCGACTGCAATTTTCCGTATATACGTACAACACCGTTTGCGGTGCACATATTATTATTATTATTATTATCGTTAGGAGGTACGAATATTACTTAGGTAAGAGCGATTCGACGAAGAACGCGCGACCGACCGATCAACTTAGACCCGTTCACTATCGTATAACCGCAGCGGGGTGTATGAAATTAAATTATCGGAAATGCCGTTATTCGCGGCAAATACCTATATAATATTAATGATTATACTATACCTACATATATCACACTAAGTCGTGTTATTATTTTTTATTCTTATGGCAACGACATAGCGCAAATATCGGCATAACGTTGTTAATCTATACTTTAAACAGAACGCTTCATTGTTTAGCATTGCAGTTTGTTTATTTCACACAATCAATATGATTTTTTTTTTTTTAATTAATATGTATTATTGAATTGAAGATAATATATCTATTATATTATAATCATCGCCATATTTTTCGATTTTATTCAACTCGAATTAAAAAAAATGATTAGTACATCGTTTTCGTGTTTACTGTTTGGAAAATCGGCCGATATAACCAATTCATAGCGCTAATTTATGTTAATATTTTAAACAAAGATTAATTATGAATTCACATTATGTATGTGAGTGGCTGCGCAAGTTTTAAAGTATAAGCAAAATGTGAGTAATGGAGTGCTTATATATTATATTGTAGACTGGCGGACAATACGTATGAGAACAAACAGTGCGGCAAGAGTCTGCACCGCGTAGGTATACTTTCTGTATATATATAATATATATATATATATACTTGTTTTACTGCAGGGTTCGAATAGGAGGGGGAAATTAAACCCTCTCCGGGATATCGACGCAGCAGCCTCCGTCGATATTGTCGGGGGACCGATAGACCGATGACCTGGACGGCGGTAAATCGGCAAGGATGAACGGCGAGAGTTGAGAGGGGGGGACAGATCTAATAACCTGCGGGTACGAGCGACCATCGTTTAATTGATAAGTCCGGCGGGAAACAAGCGATAATTTATATTGTGGATGTATTGTATATTGTGTGTATATGTATAGGAATTCAGTGTTGTTTTCCCAAGACTTTACACTTTGCCAAACCGAAATTATAGTTTATGACCCTGATGAATTTTTTTGTCACTATAAAAATAATGTGTGAGCGTTTCATAAAAGTTATATACTATAGCTTTTAGTTAAGTTAACAAAAATAGATTATTCGCGCGAAATATTTATTGTTTCATTTTTTTTTTTTTTTTTACCTTACGAATATAAAATAAAAAAATATATTATCGATTGATGTCGGTCAGTCAACGGATGATGATTAATTACACACGTTAGGTATAAGCAAAATACTGTGATTCGATTTCGGTTCTAGTCTGTACGTCATAATATATTATATTAACATAATTAATACTAAACTCTTGTTGGTCAACTGGTGGTCGGTAATTATTCAAATAATATTTTCTACAATATTATGTTATCGTTATTTATAATTTATTTTATGAACGTTTATGTCAATGAATCGTTCTTGTATATTTTGGGCTTACTTTAACATTCTATGATTGGTAACCACAATTTATTTGTATGTATGCTATTGAAAAAAAATTAAAAATTTTTAATATAAAATACACGCAATTATAAATACTAAATATTAATTAAACGAATAATTTCCAAAATGAACGATAGGGTGTTTTAAATATAGTATCATTAAACTTACCATAATTATTACAGATCTCAGTTAATAATTGAACATAAGTATATTATGTAAATAGTTGTTGACGAGATTAATGGATATTTTTTGTATTATTTAGTTAAACCCCACCGATAAAATTGGTGTCTATGAAAACCAAATTTTTTTAAGTAGGTATATGTAATTGATATACATTTAATATTTTAATACATTATATATGCTTGAAGTTTGAACCAGTTATTCAATTTATACTCAAATAATATCGAATAGGAAGAGAATAAAATTATAGACGTTTCATTCTTTTTAATCAAATGAATAAGTTACTACCTATACTAAGATATAAAATAATTATAATTGTTAAGAAGATTATAATTCAGAGGTAATAACTTTTTAATAAGAGAAAGTAAACAAATAACGGAAAAATTAACGATGAATAATGTTTAAGTGAGCGTTTAATGGAGCGATTTTAATAACATATAACTTTAGGTTTGTTTCGTTGAATACAAAAACTTATTACGTAAATATCTTATTTAATCCGAATTTTACCGGTCTCTGTGTATAATCATATTATATTATTATATTCCCCCTCTTAAAACATCATGGAAAAAAATTATTCAGTTAGTTTTAATAAAACATTTACGTTAATTGACATTCGGTACACTTGATCGTCAGCCATGGTTTTGTTGTTTGAACAAAAAATTGATATAGCGTACTAAATTAAATAATTATAGTAGCAAAATGTATTTTGCTGATTGTGATCATTTTGTATATCCAGATTTATAATTTTCAAAACAATCATATTATGTAACCGTCAAAAATAGATAGTAATTACAATAATCGTGTTCAAAATAAACTTTTAAGTAGTAAATACTGAGCTTTCTCTCAAACTTGCAAGTCTGGTTAAAAGTAAAGTTGTAAAAGATATAATTGTTTAACGTAATACTATAATTTTAATTACAACATGATATTTTATTTATTTATTTAAGTCGATGCGGGTTTTGGATAAACTGTGCTAAGCACCCAAATATTCATTACTCTTATTTCTTGAATTTATATTTTAAATATTAATAATTTTAATTTTTTATCTTTTAAAACGGTTTTACTCATAATTCACAGATAAAAAATTATGCATAATATTTTAATTTTAGGTACTTTTTGAATGAATAAAATAAATTTTTTGCGACAATAACATGAATGTACAACAAAAAAGATTAATGAAGTCTGAAATATTCTAAGATAAAATAATCACTGTATGTAGTGTATACATTTTCCTTCAGATTTAAGATGTACCAAATAATAATTGTGATTGGTATTATTTTGGTAAAACTGTTTAGGTGAATTTATTTTTGTCGTGTTGGATTATGTTACGATATTTATATTTTTTTTAACTGCTGAATGTATACAATGCATAGTTTTTAATTTATCATTCTTCGTCCACAGGATCTGGAAGTACGAAAAGCGACGAAGACGAAGGAGATGAGGACGAAGAGGAAGAGTGCACCGTCGATGATGAAGATGATGACGAAGACGACGACGACGACATGCAGTCGGTCAGTTCTACCGAGGGATCAAATCACAGTCTGCTTTCCGGTAAATATAATATACATATTTGTACTATAATAACAATATATAGCTTTAAGTAGAAGTTTTCCGATCTATATGTTTCTTCTTATCGACGCTATAAATATTAAATAATATCTATTTCCCTTGTACCCAAGATGTTATTTTGTATAAACATTTGAAAATTTGTATTACTTACATTTGGATTTTAACGAAAAAATTCAAATTGTTGAAAACCGTTAGATTTTCACTTATTAAAGTAGATAAAATGTCCGAATACCGATTTTGTTGTTATGACATTACATTATATTATATTGTTAACGTATTGTTTCTTAGTATACTACGCATTGGCACGTGCGACGTTTACAATGGCTCGTGTTTCCCGTGTTTGTTTTACGCGCGGGAAATTTATGGAATCCGATTAATATAATATAATCATTGTTCATTATCATAATTATTATGGTAAGTCGGTACTTATAATATGTTGTGTAACTGCTGTATTATTCCGAATGGAAAGTCGCGTGACACTGCCTCAAAATATTTCACCGTAATACATTTAAAATTATAAACGAAAGCAAGTCTTCGTGGCGACGACTACCCCCTCTCACTGTCCTCATTACACACTCAACCCTTACACTGTCCCCCCACGTGTACCACCCACCGACGAGCCGTGTCGTCGTCGTCGTCGGAAGCGGAACGATTGCATCGTCGTCAATGGGACGCCGAGCATTGTTAGTCCGGCGGTGGTGTGTGTACCGGAAATAATTACAGCAGCCATGGTCCGCATGAAAACCGACTTTAATCACCTTTTCCAGTCTCTGTACATACACGCCGAGCAAATCAAATATTGTTACAAGAATGAAGAGTAAATAAAATTAATAATAATGTGACGAATGTGTGATTGCGGAGTCCGCTTCGTCGGTCGGTCGACGCAACATAGCGGACAGACTTGCACGCGCACAGCTAACATACTTATGCGGATAATATATCCGAGTCGAAGGTATTCGTGCTTTCTGTGAGATTTGCCAAAATATGGACTTATTTCCTTCCACCATATTTAATTCAAATCTAAGATCCGGGGGAGGACAACGGTGTATATTATATAGTAACCCCCATATCCCGCTGAAGGTCGCCAAGAGCCAACATTATTGTAATTGAAAGAGATTACGGTCAATAATCTCGTGCGTAACTGTACGACTTGACTTTGGGCGAATGCTATATTTTACTAAAAACACCGTTTTCTTAACTGTAGAGTTTTCTTTCTCTATCTCTCGCTATTTAACGGATACAGATGGTTTTGAGTCTAATGCCGTCACCCCAGGTAGATCACATATTGTGTTTGTATATACGTCATATACACGACACCGGTGTAAATTGCACACGATAATATTATATGAACGCGTCTGTCGTACCCGATTATAATATTATACGATATATATATATATACATAAAAACACGTACGGTGCGGCGCTTATAGCTGGTACGTACCAGCTGGTTGTAAGCGTGTCGTTATCGTGTTTTATGTACTTTTTCTCGAGCCTCGGCTGGAGACGAACGTCGTGAATGGGTTATGCGAGAGTTTTGCGGCAATATAATTGTACCCTTGCTAAAAGTTGCCGGCGCCGTCGTCTGAGCGCCGCTCACCACACTATAGCTGCTGCGGCGGCGGCGGCGGTATGCAGAAGAGCGGCGTGGTTCTCCCACGGGAACCGTATAATAAACCCGCGGTGAAGATCGCGTGCGGGTGGTATGTGTTGTACATATATATATATAATATTATACACGTTCGTTTTGTTTGATTGTTATTGCCTCGGTGGCAGTCGGCGGTTGTGCAAATGTGGATGGGAAAAGATGAGAAGTATTCTCCCTCTCTCTCTCTCTCTCTCTCTCTTTCCATCTCTCTCTCTCCCTCCCTCTCGCTTTCTCTCTCCCCGTCGTTCGCCGTAAAGAAGAAAAAAAAAAACCCGAAAGAAAATAAAAACACCGTCTGTCTATATAACATAATATATAAATATAATAATACGACGTATATATATATATATATAATATGTGCTCGTCGCTGATGCTGCCGTTGCAGCGGGCACTCGGACCTCGGCCGCCGTGGTCGGAAAAATCGATATATTATGTGGTTTTTGCTGGGCCACCGCCGCCCGCAGGACGTACAAAATTAACGCACGCCGCGTGTCAATTAGCGACAGCGAAGGCGGCAGCACCGGAGGACGACTGTCCTGACGATATAGCGCCGCGTAGGTACCTGCAAGTTTGTCTCTCCTCCGTCACCGTTTTCCGTGCACGTACATTACGCAGAAATGCACTACGCCCCGTTTCTAGCGCAAAAGTGCAATTCAATTATCTGAAAGTATATATATATATATATCCATAATAAACATACCTATACACATATATACATTATACATATTGTATGCAGGTACGATAGCGGGGGTGGTAGTTTTGTAATTGTATGTATTATACGCACATTAAGGTATACCTATACTATAACAGTATAACGTACGTTTAATCATAGAATTGCATCGATGCACGTAAACATTATTTGTAAATAGGTATATAGAGAGTAATTTATCAAGCACGATCACGTTTTTTTTTTATCATGTAACACTGCAGTTATTGAAATTCTGAGTTTTGAAGTATTTGAGCATAATATTTAAATCACCGCGGTTAGTTCGTATAGTTTAAAATACTTATGTTGTTACGATCAGGTGTCCTGTATCGATATTCGCTTATTTTTTTTTTTTTTCAAATAGAACTAACCTTATTTTATTCAACTCATAATAATATGTAGGTACTAGATAAGGTACTAGAGTAATCCTTGATAAAGCTTTTATCCAAAAACAATTTAAATAGTTGTAGTATTTAATCTATATAGTCAATGCTCAATCATTTTAATGTTGATAATACATAAATATAAATTATTATGATTTTCGAATTTACATTGGTCCCATATATTTAAGCCAGCTCTTCTGTTGTACCATGTGTATATATGAGTATCTACAAATATGTATGTATTTATGTGTGCGTGCGCGCGTGTGTGTATGCATATTATACAGAATGATTCGCCATTTTTTCTCTTTAATAAATAATTTATTTTCATTTTTGAGATTATTTTTACTACTTAAAGTGTGCTCTGTGACGATATAAACTTTTTTTTTAATTTTCATTTGTTACTATAAATAATTTGATCGGTAATTTTTTTGAAAATTTAGTTTTAAAAAAAAATATAAAATATAGGTTATTAGTATTAATATATATATCATTTAAGGTATTTATTATAATTGGACAATTATTCTAACAAATTTTAAATGTTAATTAGATTAAAAATAATTACTTAATTTTTAAAACCGCTATAGTTCCTACAACTTCCAAATTCATTGTCATGTATAGCTATTATATTTAATACAGCTCAAAGTTAAAAACTACTCGTTTGAATTTGGATTTTTGGAAAATGTATCCTTTAAATAATTTATAGTAGAATTGGGGAACTTTAATTTGATAAACAGAATTTTTGTATTTCCACAAGAAAAAATTATCAAGAATTTGAAAATATTAAGTACATTAAGTATAGGTACTTAAAAATTCCAAGAATACATTTTGAAGAACTGCTTTATTATAGAAAAAATGGGGTGAGAATATTTGATGAATCACCCTGTAAATAAATAAGTTAAATATATAATATATGCATGTACCTATTATATACTCTTCTCTTGTCTCTTTGTGTGGTGCGTGTATAACATATTATAATAGGTGGGTAAGTATAGGACATAGGTACCTAATATTCGTGTGACCTAAACCTGATGACAGTTACATAAAAATAGTGAATAGTTATCGTTGGTTAAAAAACATTATGTATGCGTCAAATATATAATGTTTAATATACTATATTAAGCAAGTCTCTATTTTATTCATATAATATAATAAAATGCAATGGGAAATTTGTTAAAATCATATAATATTTTAGGAAAAATTGATTCTTTCTGACAAATAATGTGGTTCAATCGTTTAAAAAATCGTTTTTATAATAATTTCTTTTATACCATGTACTACTGCACAAGCAAGGTGTCAAATAGATTGGGAAAATAAAATGTGCAAATAATTTCTAAACAAAAAAATAAGTTATAAAGATTTGAATACATTTTATAGGTAGGTACTTATTGAAGTTGGTGAATTAATTATATTTGATTTACATGGTGTAATTGTTTTTATATGTAAAGTAGTGCAACATAAGTCTTTACGAATTGTATTGATTTTTTTTTTTATAAATTACCTTATAGTTATTATTAATATGCATTTTAAAAGTCAAAATATAAATATAATTTTAATCTTTTTATTTTTAAATGTTGGTATTAATTTAATAACATTAAAAAAAAAATACAATTAAATAATTTATTTTTTCCTATTGTACATATAATAATATAAATGTTATCTATATAAAGCATTAGTTATATCAGCTATCAACTATAAAACGCATATTATGCATTGTACTATATTTGCATTTTATTTTATAACAGTTATGAGTAATATATTAGTGTTTTTTATGTTTTTAATTCAATTATATTATTTCAAAAATTAACATATTAATATAATAACTAATTAATGATGAGTAGAGAAATTCAATCAAAATATCTGCATATTTAAAAACACATTGCAAATTTTTTTCAAACTACACCACTCATAAAATTGATTAGTAACAATATGATAATATTATGTTAAATATGTACATTGTACAATGTTCATAATATTATTTGTGTTGTGTATTGTATTCAGTAGCGTATTTATGTTTTTTTGTTGGTGAAAGGGGAATCATTATTTTTAGATGATATTAGCTACCTGGTTATGTATAATCAAAAAATTAAATTGTACTGATCACAGATAAATGTAATAAGCAGAGTTATGAATTTTATGATTTCGCACAACCCCGAATTTTGTTTCGAATTCGAAACAAGTGATTGTATATTATTAATAAAATCTATTGATCAAACATTAAATTAACCATTCAAAATACAGCGTTTTATTTT